CCGGAGGCCGTCGGAGAGAGCCACAGAGGCCTGATTTGTGACAATGTGTCTTTTTGCTGTGAAATCTTTACAGATTTTTTATAAAGAATAGAATAGGATATATATTCTTATATAGAATATAAGAATAGCTCTGATATTATTAGTAATATTTCAATATAATATATCATTATATTGCATTGCATTATATGTTTTGAAACTACACAGCTTTGATCATAAACTAAGCATTTAATTATCATCTTATAAGACATATTATTGGGAGATATGGAGTGAAAACTGATATATATATATATATATATATATGCATTTTATAGAAGTATCCGCTATACTGTTATAAAGATCTCATTGATTTACTTTACAAGCATCAGAATTTCACCTAATTTTTTTGCCATATGAATATCAGCATTTGTACCAAATTACATATTTTTGCTACTCAACAAAACATACATATGCAGACTTTTTTAAAAGATTTTTTAAAATTAAAATGTATTTATTTATTTATTTATTTCCATACCTGCATGACGATTGGTCACACATTTCCAGTCACGTTAAAGTGCTCTCTATTGTCCTACTATTTCTTTGAATTGTGTGTCCTCCAGTTAAAGGAACACTCCACTATTTTTGAAAATAATTTTCCAACTCCCCTAGAGTTAAACACAAAACCTCAGACTTGTTTCCGTCTGAAACTTTACAGACCGAAACGAAGCCCTTGCATTTATTTGTGTAACTTAAATGTTTGAGTTACAGGATGTGCTAAACATGAACGGTCAGGGGGATCGGCTTCACATGTGCATGTTCTTCTCATGTAACACGTCATCCTGTGTGTTCCCTCAATGTTTAGAGTAGCGCAGTATTTACAAATATAATAACCCAGGAACCTATTTAACTTGTATTATATTAGTGTGAACACTCTCTTTAGTGTGAAAACTCTCTTTAAAAAAAACCCATTATTATCCTGCGCTAGATTGCCCTTTTTTCCATTCTTAATTCTACAAGGACTCCTCTTGATTACTGCATTTTTGTGGGCTTTTAACTGTAATTAGAGTTCATTAATCTGTTTAATGGAAACTAGATTAACAAAGCACTGGAAAAACACCCAAACAGCAGTTTTGGCAGGAAGAAGGAGTTACGTAAAACTAAGGAACTTTCTGACATGTCTGAAACCACTGGATGCATGTTATCCCCCATCGCTGTGAATCATAGCCGGTTTTTCCATGTTTTTCTAGAGTCTGCTGTGGTGGGTTAGATAGTATCACATTATTAATTTTCATTATGTTACTCAATGTTATCGTGATAGTTTTGATGATTGTTCTGAATTCAGATGTAAAAGGCGTCGGGTTCGTCACTTGAAATTGCCCATAATTTCTTTCCTGACACTTTTACGCCGTCCCTCAGAGCTGCGTGACCTCTGGCCCTACCGAAAACAGACTTCCCGCTGATGCAAAGGAAAAGAGATAACCACCTCCAGCTGTGTCTGCTTTTGCCATCTTTGCCTTCTCTTTTACTCGTATGAAGTCTTGGCTGAAGCGAGTAATCTGTAGGTGTTCGTGACCTGACTCGAAATGAACCTTCACTGATAAATCTCATGCTATAAAGGCAGTTGACGTAACGTCTGACCGTCGCCACTTTCCATGCATATGAGTGAGATAATGAATGAAATTACCTTAGAACCATTAGTGATGTAAAAAAATGCAAATTTATGCTTTTATTATAAAATGTGATGAGAGGGATTTGCATTTTATTATATTATTTATTACAAAAATAAAATCACACTATAAGTAAATAAGTAGAATGTATAAGTAAATAAATAAATAAGAAGTAATGTAACTTAAGTATAGAAGTAATAAAAAAAGACAAACATTTTACTGTTTCTGGTGGGGAAAATCTCATTCTAAAAATCAAATAAATGAAGCCTATTTTAAGACCATTTCGAGATTCATTTTATTATTTTTTTTAATTAATTAATTTATTGCATTGTCATGTTTTTTCATGACCTTTTTAACACATTTCCCCCAATTCAGAATTGTATTTGTTGTACTGAATTCAATTTGTGCTGATTAATAAATTTTTCCAGACAGAATGATTGTAATTTGTATTACGGCAATGAGAAAAAAATAAGTAATGCAAACAAATATGTTATTACAGTGATAAACATTTAATATCCCCAAATATTAATTAATTAACAGTAACAGTAATTAATGTGTGTATGTGTGTATTATAAAAATTATTTTTTCTTTTCTTGAATGATAGACTATAGCAAATTTTATATTTGAATTACATTCTTGTGTTTGATAAAACTGATTAAGTAAGTAAACACTATGTAGGACAAAAAGTGACATGTTTAAATGACTGTGTTTGACCTTGTTTGATCGATCTCAGAAATAATTTCATTGTAGAACTGGATTATTGCTGCTTGTGCCTCGTCTTGTGAGCCATAAATGCCACTGAAATGTTAAAAACCACAAGTCCACGGCCGCGGTGATGTGAGGAGCAGGTGTTGGGACAGGAGAGACTGTATTGTGGCCTTTCAGAATACCTACAGTGCCACGCATCCACTTTAGTGCCGGGCATTCTGGGAATGAAAGTCAAAAACGCAACCTTTGACCTCTCACATGTTTTCTTTTTAATTGGTTGGGTGCTTTCCCAGTGTTCACCGCGAGCATGGAGGGCCTATAGGGCTCATTCACGTCATCAAACCCTTTTGTGTTAGTTTTTTCCTTTTCATCGTAGAATTGAATGTCTTTTAACTGGCCAAATCCCCCCAAGCGGCTTTGAAAACTTTTATTTAGGGTTTTAGGAAATTGCATGAAGATTTAATAAAAAATAACATTTTCAGCAAAACCTCAATATGAGAGGTTCTGTTTTAATTGTACATATTTCATATTACGCATGTGTCTCTCATTAGACAGCATATGTTCGGCTTTAAATGTTTATTTCTTTCAATCAGCACAGACTAAAGTCTTGTCAACACATCTTGCGTGGAGCATCTTTTGTTTGTATACCATAATATAAAATCTGATTGGATGAGCCACGTTAAAAAAGTCATTGGAAGAATAGCCATGAAAAGCAGACCTGTGATTCCACATGAGTTTGAGTTATTAATCCAAATCTACGCTTTAGCTAATGCTTCTCATGTTCTTATTTATTCATTTTCTATTATTTATTTATTTATTTTCTTTTTTCTGTCTTTATTTATTTATTTTCTTTTTTCTTTATTTATTTGTTTTCTTTCTTTTTATTTATTTATTTTCTTTTTTATTTATTTGTTTGTTTTCTTTTTATTTATTTATTTTCTTTTTTATTTATTTAATTATTTTCCTTTTATTTTCTTATTTATTTTTTCTAATTTTCTCATTTATTTCATTTATTTATTTTCTTATATATTTTCTTAACATTTTCATGTTCTTATTTATTCATTTTATCATTTGCTTTTCTTTTTATTTACTACTTTTCTTATTTGTTTATTTGTTTATTTCCTTGCTTATTTCCTTAATTATTTTTATTTATTTATTTATTCATTCATTTATTTATTTATCCTTTTTTTTTTTTCTTTAGTCAGGTTAGACACCATATTAAATTTTATAATTGTGAGGAATGGAAATACAGTCTTAAACAAGTATTGTTGTGTACCTAATGTCAATGAAAATGTTACGTCGTCTTAAAAATGCATGCAATTTCTTTAAACGGAGTCGCAAAAATAAGTGACAATTAGCATGTGCTTTGACCCTGAATAAAGACTATAGGACCTGTGAGAGACATCTGGAAAGGGGCAGATCATCGTTCTCTGTCTAATTGTCTTTTTTGCTCTGTTTTTGCAGCGCCAGTAGTCATTTGTGACAGTATATAAATAGAGGATAATTGCGCACACATTAGTTTAGCTGAACTAACGGGTAAGCTGCAAATGAAGTAAACTCACAGAAAGTTTGTCACGTCCTGTTCACTGGGGGGGGCAATCTTTATAATTATTGATTGACAGAAGAAACTTGAGATCTTACACAAAGCTGAAAGAACATGAAATCATCACTTAAACAGGGTTCGGTTACACTTGGTTTAAATACTGGGGCTCCACAGTGTAATAATTCTGCTTCCACTTAAAGGCCTGCTGTCAGTCAAAGGCACTGTATGTTAGTGCTTCCTATTGCCCTCAGTTATTAAAAAAAGCACTTTTAAACCACAGGAGGTTTAAAAAGTTCAAATCTTAACGATGGAATTAAATCCAATTTGACTGTATTTGCTGTCTTAATCATGATTGTTTGTGTCTGTTGTGTTGTAGGAGCTTGCTAGCTGTGGCTGGAACAAAAAGGAGAAACACATTTTGGCTCCTAATGTTGTTGCCTTCACACGGAGGTTCAACCAGGTAAGATGGATGATGATTGGTTATTTTGTTTTATTTTATTTTATTTTGTTTTATTTTGTTTTGTGTTTTATTTTATTATTTTGTTGTATTTTATTATTTTGTTTTATTATGTTTAATTTTGTTTTATGTTTTATTTTATTTTATGTTATGTTTTGTTTTGTTAATTCTTTACATTTTTAATTTAAAATATATATATATTTTTAAATGTATTCATTTTTATTTTATTATTTGTATTTATGTTGCATTATGTTCTGGAATTATTAATTAATTAATTTATTTATGCTACTATTGTCACTATTGGTGCACAAAAAATAGAACATTATATTATAGAATATAATATAATTTATTATTATATTATATTATATTGCATATGCTTCAAAAGAAATCAAGAATCAAATCAAAATGTGTAGTTGTATAGATATATAACTGTGTAGTAATATTAAGTTAGTAAAGCAAATCATTTAAAACAATTAAATCAGCTTGTAATCATGACCCAGTATCAGACTGAAACAGACAATTTAATAAACACTGATATTGAATGTTACTGATATGATGGAGGTATTGTTCGTCCCTAGTTGTCATCCCAGTGAAATGCTGCACTTATTCATTTATATATTCATTTCATTTTCCAGATGTGAAGTGTATGAAGTGGATATAAAGTGTATTTTTGCCTGGGCTGTAACTGATATAGTGCCAGCAGACTGCGAACTGTGCCACAAAACCATTATCAACCTGATGGCTCACAGCTTTAGGACTTAATATGTGCTGGAAATACTGTTAACAGCTCTCACATGGGCAACCATCCTTTCCTCTTCAAGCTCGACCTTTTCTACCTCTTTTCTCCAGTTTAAGGAAAAATGTGGTGTAGCGAATCAGCTCATGGGGAAATATGAATAATTAATCATAACTAGTTATAATTAATTATAAATATTTAGATCCGCTGTAGATATTTACTTGACCTCTCAGGGTCAACTGTCTTTAGAAGAGTCCATTTCTACTGTGCACTGTGTCTCTTCCTTAAGAAAAAGGCAGTGATTTTCCCTACTTACATTTCATTAGGTCGTAAATGTATCTGGTGTCAGGGTTGCCATGGTAACCAGGGGGGGCCTGGTGTCGTTGCAGACATCCTGGCATCCAGTTTATTTGGTGAGGGGACTGTGACGATTTGTTAATCTAATGAATAACTGATTTGTTAAATGAAATGAAAAATTGTGTGTTTGATTGGTCCAGACGCTACAGTGGTTGGCCAATCATTGCTGTGCCGTTACATTTAGACAACATTCATTTTGACATCTCGTATGTTGTTGACATAGGGCACATGCTGTTTTAACAAATGATCACTCCAACTAATCATTTACCACCCCGACTAACAGCGAAAATCACTTTCTTACAAAGATACATGTGAGAAATTATTAACACGACTGTCCGAGTTGTTTTTGCGCTTAAAGGAATAGTTCATCCAAAAAAATGAACATTTGCTAAACATGTCCTCACCCTCAAGATTTAGATGAGTTTACATCTTCATCAGAACAGATTTGGAGAAATGCCGCATTCCATCACTTGCTCACCAGTGGATCCTCTGCAGTGAATGGGTGCCGTCAGAATGGAAGCATTATTATGGATAAAGGATAGTGATCGACCGATATTGATATTTTATAACCGATACCAATACCAATTATTTGCATGTTTATGTGCCCGATATGCAGAACCGATATTTATTTACTGTTATAAAGTAAATAAATGACTGACTGAGTCATCTTAAAAAAAGTGTTAAAAAAATTAGCAGTCGGCGTTTATCGGTGAATCCGATATTACAAAACCGATATCCGATTATTGTAAAATGCTTAAATATCGGGAAAAATATCCTGTAAATCGGTCGATCTCTAATAAAGGACTTGTATTTTAGCCAGAAACAGTTTTGAAGTAGGAAGAGATTCATTCAGAACGAATCTGCTGCGTGGTTAGGAGGTTATGCGTACATATGAACCGGCGGGACATAAGCTAAAATATACTTGCTGCACGTTGCATAAAACGTTCAAAAAATTTCAATATGTGGGAGTAAGAGAAGAGCAGACATATAGATAAATCTGACGATGCAAGAGAGAACTCCATTCGGTCCGGTTTTCTGAGCGCACACACTGAAGCACACACACACAGAAAGCGCCTCTCACAGCGCGTGAGTACTCTTTCGCCTCGCATGAACGGAGAATTACACACAAAATGATGTCGAATTGTCCGTTTTGACGAGTATTCACGTAAACACAGTTGATTACGTCTTAAGTGAACGTAAACAGCAGGGAGAACGTGTATCAGGACATTGCATCCATTGCATCCGTGCATTCGGTTTTAAAGGGACAGCAGCCTAATTTAGTTGCTGTTGTCCGAGTCACTGATGTTAATCAAGCAACAAAAGAAACACAGAAAATCACTCACTGCTCTTGACTGAAAAACTTTAGTAGCCTTAAAGATTCATCTAAATGTATTTATAGAAATAAATATGTTTGCTTGAATAACTATGACTAAAACTAAATCAAAATATGCTGTCAAAATTAACACTGCTGCAGAGGATCCATGTGATGGAATGATAAATTTCTCTAAATGTTCCTATGAAGAAACAAACTCGTTTTAAATTTTGGGTGAATTATTCCTTGTTAACCAAAAACTTCTCCAGTCTTTTGCTTCAGTAGTAAAACTTAACTCGCACGCCTCATAGGAAAGATCTGTGAATCAGTTTTGTTCATGGAATGAATTTTGACTTTTAAAATGTTGTTTGTTATTCAAATTTGGTGATGCTGTTGGGTTAAAATGCTTAAGGAACCATTAATTATAAAACCAGAAGGAAGTTTGGTTTCAAGATAATTTAGAAACATTTGGCCATAAATTAATCTTAACTAAATTTGCGGTTTCAATGTAGTGCTTCCAGTTCTGTTTATTTATGAAGTTTCAGCCTGGAATGAATTCGATTTTAAATCTGTCTCTTTAAATCCGAAACCTAATCAGATTAACTGGTGTGTCCCAATTTTTCATATTCAAGATTTCGTGAAAGTGCTATAAAAGTGCAAAGCAGACAGTAGATGACCCACGTTTACAATTATGACACATGTTTAATGAGACGATTTGTTCTAGCTTTTTAGCCAGGAGTGTGTGGAAATTACATAAAAGCATCAAGTTCCCCGCTGCACAATTTCCGCTTGAAACGGTCTTAGTGTGTGCAACTCTCCTCAAAGTCAGTCTCACACAATTCCTTCTATCTTGGCTGTCGACATCGTTGGTTTTATGAAATCATTAAACCGAACATGATGAGCTGGCTTCCAGACCTTCGGAAAGATGGAGCGGCTTTGAGCCACATTTCTTGGCCACCCAAGAGTGTGTTTCGCTTTAAACAATGCCTGTTGTTTGATGTACTGTTTAGAGAGTGAGCAGTTTTGAATGTTTCATATATTTATATATGCATATATATGTATGTGAAGTCAAGCATCACTATTACGTAGCTCATGTTACATAGTGATTTGAACAAACCTCTAACAATGTTACACATTACAGGGATAGTTCACCCAAAAATGAAAATTACCCCATGATTTACTCACCTTCAAGCCATCCTAGGTGTATATGATATTCTTCTTTCAGACGAATACAATCGGAGTTATATTAAATAATGTCCAGGCTAATCCATGCTTTATAATGGGAGTTGATGGTAGCCCAAAATTTGAAGTCCAAAACATTGCACCAATCCATTATAAAAGAAGTCCACACGGCTCCGGGGGGTTAATAAAGGCCTTCTGAAGCGATGCGATGCGTTTGTGTAAGAAAAATATCCATATTTACAACTTTATAAACCTTAATCTCTAGCTTCCGCTAACTGTCGTACGCTCGTTCACGAGAGAGGTGCGTCCAGCGGATGACGTAGCACGTAGGCAAACACGGTGACGAACACGGAAGTGACGAACGCGGAAGCGCAGAGGAGAGAGCAAAACAAAACACCGGTCACGAATTAGTAGTACAAAACGAGGATTTGTAAAGAAAAATGACAGAGGATTTTAATATAAGCCAAGAGGACACTGGTTTTCCTTTGCTGTAAACAAAACTTGTTTCTCGCAAGACTAGCATATTCTCACCGGAGCTTATGCTACGTGCTACGGAAGCTAGAGATTAAGGGTTATAAAGTTGTAAATATGGATATTTTTCTTACACAAATGCATTGCATCGCTTCAGAAGGCCTTTATTAACCCCCCGGAGCCGTGTGGACTTCTTTTATAAAGGATTGGTGCAATTTTTTGGACTTCAAATTTTGGGCTACCTTCCACTCCCATTATAAAGCATGGATTAGCCTGGACATTATTTAATATAACTCCGATTGGATTCGTCTGATAGAAGAATATCATATACACCTAGGATGGCTTGAGGGTGAGTAAATCATGGGGTAATTTTCATTTTTGGGTGAACTATCCCTTTAATCTGCATCATTTGTGGCATCGGGGTGATGAGTTTTGCATGTTCAAGCAAGGCTGCATGATTAATAGAAATAAAAACTTAATGTGAATTATTAAAATGTATTTAATTAAATAAATAAATGTGCTGTGTTTCAGAGTGAAGCATGTGTTCATTTACATGCAAGCAGGTAATGATTCAGCATCTAAGAGGCTCAGTTCCTAATATAAATAAAAGTAATATTATTGTTATTATTAATATTATTATATTCTTTTTCTTAAATATTAGATATTTTATTTTACAGTGAAATATAACAATAGTAATATTGATGTTGTTTGTAGCCATTTTTATATTTTTATTTATTAGTAGGAACAGCAATTACTTTTTTATTATTTTTTGAACATTTAATATTATTATTATTATTATTATTATTATTATATCTGTATTCATATATAATCACAAAATTTTGGCCAAATTTTGCAGGCCCGCAAACTAGCACAGCAAACCTGGATTTTTTTTTTTTTTTTATAATGTAAAATAAATGATTTTATTTTATAAATTATTATATTATTTATTTTTCTGAAATATTAGATTTTTCATTATATGGTGAAATATTACAATAGTATTATTTATTTTGTTGTTTTTTAAGTAATTTTTATATTTATATTTCATAGTAGCAATAATAATAATAATAATTATTATTATTATTATACCCATGTTGATACGTCATTACAAAATTTTGGCCGTATTGTGCAGCCCTGCAAACAAGTATCATTAAATCATAAATCACAATCACGATTTTTCAGAAAAGTCATGCAGCCCTACTCAAGAACTCTGCTAAATATCTAGTAGAGTTTGTCCATGTAATAAATCAGCTCTGTATTCTTAGTGAAATCAGGTGAGCAGGAACTGTACATGGAAACATTGTGCTCCATCGTCATGGCAACTGAGCAGAAACTTCGGCCTTCAAAACATTGTAGCGCTCTTTGCCAGTTCATTATTTATGGAGCGGGAACAGAAGCTTTCAGAGCCGTTTTGAAGGCATTATGGGTAGGAATGAACCAGATGAGCTCACCCTCTTTCATGAAGGGGGTCACAGCTCTACGCTTTGGTAAAACCCACTTTACAACCACTTTGGAAAAAGAACCATCATCTCCGGGCCAAGAAATGTAAGCGCTGTGCCCCGTTTCTCCACAGGTTTCTATACCAACCAGAGCTCTTATAATGTGTAAATGATTTGATAATGAGCTATAAGCTATGACATCATTGCACATGACTTATCTAGCAAAGCGGCGTTCATATATTTTAACCTAACACAGCTGCCGCGCTATGATACGCTTGTCCCATTCCCTACAATTGCTGGAAAACTTGAAATTTTGGCCAACATCTTTGAAGCTCATTTTCTTTAGATCATAACTCAATGACTATGACTCAAGCGTTGCATGTTTATCTTAATAAAGATGACACCAAAGTGTCTGTTATCATTTATGAAATGAAGGAGGGAGTAGTTAGAAATTTTTGTCAGGATTTGCACAGCGTTTCCTCAGGGTAACAAATGCAATTTTATTGTTTTTAAAATGATTAATTAATGAGGGGATGACATTGAATAAGCCAATGAAAGCTTTTTTTCTGGCTCACACTACTTTTTTGTCTGAATTGAACCATACAGGGTCTTAAAAATTGAGACACTAAAAGAAAAGTTTGTTAAGAACCAAAATCCAAAATATATAAAAAAAAAGTTATATTTAATACTTCTTGAATTACAGGCATGCCAACATCGGGGGGAGAAAAAACACACAAAAAATGCTTTTTTTCGTATTTTTGAACTGTCACCATTGGCGTATAATGCAATAAAGATTGCTAAAGTCAACAGATTTTACTAATAGAACTACCAATCTCTGTGTAAAAATAACATAATGATGCTGCCATCTTTCTAAAGTCCTTTTTACCCATCTGTATTTTGGGTCCAAATCAAAGGTGAAAATTGTCATTTTGACCCCACTCTACAAAATAGTGGATTATGCATCCTTTACATTTAATATTTTGGCTTTTGTCACTATTATATTTTTCTTTCTTCAGAATAAACATTAACAAAATAAACATTTTTAGCCAGGAAGTTTCTGAACTTTGATTGATTTGACACAGAATGACCCAGAGTCACTCAGTTCCACTACAAATATTTGTGTACAATTTAATAATTTACTAATAAAGCCACATTGAGATCCAAATATCTCTGGGATTAAACCATATAGGGTCTTAAAATTCGAGATAGCGAAAGAAAAGTTTGTTAAGAACCAAAATCCAAAAGGATACTTGAATTTCAGGCATGCCAACTTTGGGGGGAAAAGAAGCTCACACACACACACGCACACACACACACACAGTGCTTTTTTTCCTATTTTTGAGCTGCCACCATTGGCATATAATGCAACAAAGATTGCTAAAGTCAATAGATTGTACTAGTAGACAAGCCAATCTCTGTGTAAAAACAACATAACGATCACAAGTCCCACAGTAAATACATCCATGACATTTAATATTTGTCTTTCATTTCTATTTATGTTGGTCTTCCTTCAGAAGTCTCTGCAATTTGTTTTGATTTGACACAGAATGACCCTGTAGTCACAAATATTTAAGTAATTTAAACCCATCTTTAATCAATTTCTTTTCATTGTCAGACAGCGTTGGCTTCAAACAACATTCCCATTTAATGAATAAAGAAGTCTAGTAAAGCCTGTGTTCGCGGCCCCTCAGACGAGTGTTTTGTGTACACGTCACATGTAGGCAGTAGACAGCAAGGCAGCTCACTAGGATTTAAGAAACAGGGCTTGTATATTCTTAGATGTTAATTCTAAAGCTTTGTGTACTCGATCAGTTTAATGTTTTCTTTTAAGGATGAAAGTCAGGGGCCAGATTTACGGTGGCCTTTTTCTCCATCATGTTGTGGAAGCTTTGACTTCCTGAGGGTCGATGGAAAATACATCTTTTGCTTGGACGGTTCAGTCCATATATTCTTAGTTTACAGATATATTTACTGTTCCTCGGAGAGTTCTGCGGCCATTTGTTGGTTGTGGACAAATTGACTGTTTTTAGCCTCTGATAAACCAGCGAAAATCCAGACAAGGATTTTGGACTTTGAAGGTGGGCTTTAAAACTTAATCGTTGATGTCCTAATCTTAGATGAAGTTATTCTTTTATTTTTTAAATTGTGTCTAAGGAGATCCCAATTCTGTTGCAGTCAGTACACAATAACAGTTTTCACTCAGAAATTGCTTGTAGATTTCACAAATAAATACAAAGAAACTGCAAGCAATGCATTGAATTAAACAAGAAAATTTGAAGTAGAAAGACTCAACTAGTATTTTCTTGTAAAACGTATTCCAATAATCTTTGTTTCATTTACAACTTGCAATATTTTTTACACATGCAATGACTCACGTTCCTGCTTTATTCAAGAGCGCCAATTTCTTTCTAATTATTTGTCAGACATTAAATAGTTTCTTGAGTTTGATTCCCCTTGTGTGAAATATAATCGAGGCCGCTTTTGAGGAAATTGTTGAGGTTTGTTACCTGACTCCCGTTATGTTGTAACGGTTCCCTGAGGCCGAAATCTTAAACTATTTACTACGGTCAGATTCACTCAGGCTTCACCAGCTTTCTAATTTTGTTAT